AAGTTTTACATTTCATCCATTCTTGTCCTTTTTTATTTATTAGTTTTTCAAATCCGTCCCAAAAAGTTCCTTTATTACGAGGCATATTAAATTGATAAATGATACAATTTTTTCGCGATTTTTTTTTTTTATCTTACATTATATAACTTACCTTACATGGTAACTTACATGTAACTTACATTTTAAAAATAACTTACGGTAAGTTATACAACCCTAATGTCGATAAATAAAATTTGAAGATATTCTTAATGGAGATAGGTTGAATTGATTTTCTTCCGATGAACGTCTACTTTTCGTAGTTTTATCTGAGCAAATGGATTCAGATTTGTAGATAGTACTCGTAAATAATACGGAAAACCCGACAACGAGACCAGGGAACAACAAGAAAGATGGAATCGGAATCATATTCAAAATTAATATCGAAGATGCAAAAATCAAAGTAGCAATAATCAAAGAAGTCAAAAAAAATAAAGTCAGGAAAATTGAATAAAAAATTTTCAACAAAAGAAAATATGCAATTCTTAGCAATAATGCTAAGAGCTTTTTACTTGACATTTTGTAATTGTAATTTTTAGTCAATTCTGAAAACTAGATTTTACATGATTCTTTTAATACATTTTTCGTAATGAGCTTGTTCAAATAAGGAAATAATTAAAACAATTTTGTTTTAATTTATGCTATCTTTGCGGCGCTTATTCGTATTACCTAAGCATTAAATGAAACTCCGAGATAAGTAGGATAAATAATATTTTTCGTGTATATAGTGCTGATCTGTTACGCAATTAATACGCGTATTTTTTAATTAAAATTTTTTCAGCATACAAATATGTGAAAAAATATAAATACTATGATGCTTGTTCGATGAATTTATTTTTAAATATACTTTTTAAATAAGGAAATGATTAATTCTTATTTGACTTAATTTATGCTATCTTCGCCGCGGTCATTCGCATATAATAAGGTTTATTTTAAAAATTTTTTTTTATATGCACTATTTCTACAAAACGTCAAAATGAAGCTCCGTGAATTACTGTATATAACCAAAGATTAATGTTCAATTCTTTGCGCGCAATAAAATCTGGTTTTTATTATCACCTTATTTAATCGACAAAAGTCTGTATATTATTCCTGACGAAGAAAAAGAAAAATCTGCTACTGTTAACAAAAATAATATGGCCATAAATAAAATTTTTGGAATATTATTGTTTGTAGAACCTTTTTTTATATTTTTTTATTGGGTGTAAGTAATATCTTTCGCTATTCCTACATAAAAATATCATGCTGATTTATAATCAATTATTTAACAGGGTCAAGAAGTCGAACCATTTGTATTTATACATAAAATCTGCTACTACGGTTATAATTCTTTGCATAATATTGCTTGTAGAACTTTTTGTTATATTTTTAATTTGGGCGTAAGTAATATCTTTCGCTCTTCCTACATAAAAATATCATGCTGATTTATAACAAATTATTTAACAGGGTCAAGAAGTCGCAACATTCATATTTATACATTGAGCCTTACGAGCCAGTTGTACATGGAGCTTTTGAAGACGACCTCTCAACTTTTTCGTACATATGTAACTCAATTTATGATTTTTTTGCCATATTTTCGAGTAGAAGCAGCGGATTTGGAAGTCCATATAATGATAAAGATTCCAAATTTGTTATTATATGATTTTTAAGCTAATAAATTAAGCTGATAAACTGATCTAATATGTTTGATGAAACTGTTTGCTGTTGTGAAACTTTCGTTTGTGTGTAAACAGTTAGGACGATGCGAAATATTGTTTAGAACCGACTATCGGTATTTTCGATATTTATTTATTGGTTATAATTATGACCATAAAATAGTACGCTGGTACGTACGGGAAATACTTCACTTTACTTTATAATTCATTTTTAATATCACCATGAACCAGATTTCCAGGTAAATCACAAATTAAATGTGTTAAAATTCCGATATTTATTAATTAAAATTATCAAATAATTTACATCTTTAAACATATCTAATATAGAATTATAAAAGTTTAAACCCCTTAAAATATCTTAACTTACAGCTTAACCCTAATTAATATTCGAGCTTAAAAAGAACAAACCAATACTATAAAGTCTAAAAAATTATGCATCAATCTTTTCCTTACATTTTGCAATTAAAAGATTAATAAAATTTTCATAAAGTAGTTTATATGTGTTTTTCCTCTTGTAATTTGTTTCACAAAAAAAACGTATCATGATTCCTATCTTATTCAAAATAGGTAACCAGATGTCCTTAGGTATTTTATTATTTTCGAAAGTTACAATCACATCATAAATATGATCATACGCCTATAAAAAATTTTTTTAATTTTTGATTCTATATAATAGTTAAATAATAAATTGTTATAACATATCATACCTGGTTGTAACGTGTTTTCGAGGATTTAGAAAGATACTTCGGAATCGATAAAACAATCTTTTCTTTGACCCATTTTTTTTTTAGTTGTTCACTTTTAAATTTGAAAGGCTTTCGTCCAGCTTCTTGCAAAATCATATAAGTATGCTCAATTAAACCTTCAACAAGTTTCCATTCGAATTCTCGTCTTATTTCTTCATACTTTTCTCTTATATTTTCAATATATAACAACCAGGCGTTTGCATCATCTGATGTTGGCTTGCTAAGGCTTTCAATAGAAACAGGAAGATCTTGTTCCAACCTGATCATATATTCGCTTAATTGCGTTTTTATGTAGGATGATTCTAACTGTTCTTTATTACCATCTAAATTATCATCACCGTTAATTGCGTCTTCGTCCATAATACCTTTACAATTGCACACTACTTAAAAAATAAAATGATAAATTTGAAGAGCTTGCTTTGATTAACGTTAAAAATCAATTCTGTTGTGAAACAATGAAAAATTTTTCTAACTAGTAGAAAATTACACAAAAGTCTAAATTCTGCCTAGGAGGTTTTTTTTTTTTAACCAATTACGATTAATTTCGACACATTAACAGTCACATGATATATTACGAAAAAATTTCATGCCATGAGTACAGTTGTTAAAAATTAATAAATTAAAAAGACTGCGGGCTTTAAAGTTCAACGAAATTGATGCACATTAGTACAGGTCAGTCAGTTATAATATGTCAAATTAACTGACTTATATCTGTTTTGTTTATTGTTATGATAAACTACTGCTAAAATTTTACGAGTCTTTAATCTCAATTCAATTGGTATGCTAGCATTAACATGATTTCTCATGTATCAAGTACGTTAGGATTTAATTACAATTCGATTGGTGCGTCAGCATACATGATACGAGATTTTACTAATTTTCTCATGTGATAAGGAATCTTCTCATCAAACGAGTTGATCACAATTTGATTGGTGCATTAGAATATATGATAACAAGATTGTAAGTACATTAGAATTTAATCTAATTTTGTCAAGCAATATGATTACAAGATTGTACTCTAATCTCCTTCAAACAAAGAATCTTCTCCATTAACAAGTATATTGAAGATTTGATTTTCTTATGATTAATGCACTAACATGCATGATAACAAGATTGTATTCTGATTTTTCTCATGTACAAGTACATTATAATTTCATCTAAATTCGATTGGTGTATTGCATGCATAATAAAAAAGATTAACAGGATTGTACCCTGATCTTCTTCAAAGAATCTTTTCCATTAACACTATGGCGCTTTGTTTATCAAACAAAGAATTTTCTCTAACAAGTACGTTAAAATTTAATCTCAGTTTGATTGGTGCACTAGCATGCATGATAACAAGATTGTATTCTGATTTTTCTCGTACAATGATCTCCTTCAAAGAATCTTTTCCGTTAACATTATGGCGTTTTGTTTGCCAAGCAAAGAATTTATCTAACAAGTACGTTAGAATTTAATCCCAGTTTGATTGGTGCACTAACATGCATGATAACAAGATTGTATTCTGATTTTTCTCATGTACAAGTATATTAGAATTTAATCTCAATTCGATTAGTGCACCCTGATCTTCTTCAAAGAATCTTTCCGTTAACACTATGGCGCTTTGCTTATCAAACAAAGAAATTTCTCTAACAAGTACATTAGAATTTAATCTCAGTTTGATTGGTGCACTAGATTCACAATAACAAGATTGTATTCTGATTTTTCTCATGTACAAGTACATTAGAATTTAATCTCAATTCAATTGGTGTGTTAGCATGCATTATACAAGATTAATAATTACAAGATTATACTCTGATCTCCTTCAAAGAATCTTTTCCGAAAAAGATTCTTTGAAGAAGATCAGGGTACAATCCTGTTATCATTAATCTTTTTTATTATGCATGCAATGCACCAATCGAATTGAGATTAAATTCTAATGTACTTGTACATGAGAAAAATCAAAATACAATCTTGTTATCATGCATGCTAGTGCACCAATCAAATTGAAATTGAATTCTAATGTACTTGTTAAAGAAAATTCTTTGTTTGATAAACAAAACGCCACGCCATAATGTTAACGGAAAAGATTCATTGAAGGAATTCAGAGTCTATTCTTGTTAATATTAATCTTGTATAATGCATGCTAATATACCAATCAAATTAAGATTAAATTTTAATGTATTTGTATATGAGAAAAATCAGAATAAAATCTTGTTATCATGCATGCTAGTGCACCAATCAAACTGAGATTAAATTCTAACGTACTTGTTAGATAAATTCTTTGTTTGAGATAACCAAACTAAAATTTAATTGATATGTTTAGAACTTTAAAGTAGATCATGCATGACGTCCATGGTGTGTGAAAACTAGAACAAATCTTGTCTTTAACTATTGAGTTTATCGATCTCAAATTTAATTGGTAATGCTTTACAGTACAAGCAACTTCTGATGTTGTTAAACTTTCAGCAGTGTATAGACAGATAGGAGTTTCCTTGTTATACTTTCATCCGTGTGTAAATAGATAATTGTGAAAAGTGCTTAAGCAGCCGTGATACTTATCCTATCAGGTCAGTCTGACCCATTTCAAACTGATCTCGATCGGAATTAGCTGATAGCATAAAAAATATGAATGTCTCCAAGTTAGGTAAATATAACAACCAAAAATTTTATCTTACACCAAAAATACGATCAATTGCTCAAAGGAAGTTAAATTTCGTTTATTTTTTTTTTTATTAATTGTTCATATATTCTCTTATACACTTTTTTTACAAATAATTATAAGCCAGCTATTAAGAAACTAAGAGTCAATTTTATTCTTGGTAATAAAATTTGAAAAGCGTTGAAGCCAACCTAGTTTATTGTTTTACTCAATACTGCAATACTCGATCTTTCTAATTAATTAGGATAACGGACGAAGTTTTGGTTACGAATATAGAAAACTTCTAGGTGTTTCACATGCTCAGTTTTACACGGCTAAATATAGTTTAGAACTTCTAAACTATATTAAAATTATTAGGATAAAAGTTTTGAGTACGAAGAAACTTGCCAACGATTCTAACTAACGACGAAATCAGATTAAGAAAAACTAATTGGTTTATTCGAGAAGTAAAATTTTGTTTGAAGTTTACGAATTTTATTTCAAAAAACTGTATTAGTTGCTCTTATATTTATGACTACCGTTCTTTTCTATTTCATTTAATCATAGAATAATCGGTTTCCAACAATAAGTTACAAATCATAAATTGTAATCTGTCACATAGACTAAACAACATCGAAGCATTTTGGTTGGAAGAAAGCTATATAGAAGTACAATTTACGATTTCTACTATTGTATAATTCTTATTAAATTTACTTTACATAACTCACGTTTTTCTTTTTCTTTTTTTTTTTTTTTTGAGGAAAGTAAATATGGAATAGCCATCATCTTGACTATTCGTACAGTGGTCTGCCCAAATAGAGTACGTTTGATCGTTGTCCGTTCTCTATGATGCGAATAAAAAATTCTGATGGGTTAGTCCCTAGTGATTGGTGTTTGACCGTTGGTCTGCTAATCATGTTGTGTCGGCTCTTATATGATGAGTTCAATTTTCTGATAAGAGCTGCTTTTCTTATTAAATTTTCAATTGATAATAAAGTTATTACCCTATGATTTACATAAAGTTGTATTTTTATCTAGTCTATGTCGTAAGCACAGATTATTATATCAAAATTATTCGATCGCAAACTGTTTTATTATTAAACACTATTTTAAACATAATAAAAAATATCATAATAAAATTTTTTTAAGTAAAATTTCTTAAACTTTATGAAAAATCAAATATTTATTGACGCGCTAAGAATTTGTATACATAATTATTATTGATTAAATTGTTGATTAAACTCCTGCTCACTGATGAAAGCATTACTTCTAGGTAAATATGGATCCACTCGTTCACCCCGTTGACGTTGTTCTTCCCGGTTCTCAAAGTAAGATAATCTATTTTCTAACCGAGTAATATTCTGATTACATAAGAAATGATCCGCTTCATTTCTTACCCTTAGTGATCTTTGCAAATCATCTATGTGTTCTTGTTGGCTTGAAATAAAATTGTTGCAATTTGCATGGCGTTCTTGGCGGATGTTATTATTTCTAATACGAAAATGTTCAACTTCGACAGCAAGTTCTTCATTTGAATTTCGTAGGGATTCGTTTTCTTCTTGTAAAGTGTTTATAGTTTTGTTTTTTTCTTCAATTACTTCTTTAAGTAATGCTATTTCTTGTCTTAGTTTGTCCTCTTTTGAAGTTCGTGCAATATCTAAGTTTATGCTACCTACACCAAATTTAATGATTGATCCTTGTAG